ATGAGCGATGGATAGTTAGAAAAATCAAAGAAAATTCAAAGCTGAGTTCACCTAAATTGTCGAACTAGGTGGAAAAATATTTGCAAAAATCTGTTAATCCAAAAATTGTAAGAGTACTAAGAAAGAATGATTTTCATGGTACAGCAAGAAATAAACCATTTGTCAACGATAAAAATAAGAAAAGTAGACTGGAGTTTGCGAGACGGTATCTAACTAAGGATTTTAGTTTTTGGAAAGAAGTTATTTTTACCGACGAAAGGAAATTTAATCTTTCTCATTCAGATGGCAAAGTTACTGTATAGCGTAAACCTAATGAAGAATTTAAAATAAAAAATATGAATCCTACTATTAAACATGAAGTTGGGTTAGTGATGGTTTGGGAGTTTGGGTGTATATTAGCTACTGGAACAGGAAATTTGTAATTTATGGAAGAAAATATCGACAAAAATTATTTGAATATTTTAAAAAAGAATTTAAAAATCAGTACCTAAAAATTAGGAATTTTTAATTGTTTTAAATTTTATAATAATAATGATCCAAAACATACATGAATTAGAAGTAAGGATTAGAAAACATACGATTTCTAATAAAAATGATTTAAAAAAGGCATTGCAAGAATAATGGAGAAAAATTGAACCCGATTTTACACAAAACTTAGTAAAATCAATTCTGAAAAAGTTACATGCCGTATAATGCAGCCGAGGATACCCTACAAAGTACTAATTTTTAATACAATTTAAATATAAAACAATATTCTTAATGTGTACGATTTTAGCTGTGAGATGTTTTCTGCAACGTATTATAGTAACTTCATTTTTTTTATCTTAAGCAATATTCATTTCTTTTGTCATTATTACACAATAAATACTGATATATTTACAATAATATATCTGCCTTATTTTTTCTCCAAATCATTCCTAAACTTCTTTTTTCGAATGAAACATATTTGTGGTGTACGATTTTGGCTGTGACGCACTGTACATCGATGTCGTGGCAATCAACGTGTTAAACGATTAACATACATCAATAATTAAAACATTACAGTTTTAACGATTTACACCAAGTAACCATTAAACGAGTTCGCGAGAAACAAGAATAATCACAATATAAAATTAACAAAAGGACCATTTTTAATTGCGGACGATTAAGATTCGTCGATTTCTGTAAATCATAACAGAGTTTCGTAATCTTACAAAGCACGTCGAAAATAGTCGCTATACCACACGGTTTAAATGTTTAGTATGAATAGCTTACAGTGTTATACGAATAAAAATGGTATCACATAATGTCGAAGTCTACTTTACGTAGCTACTTATAAATCTCTCATGAGCAGATATTTTAATCATCGACCCGTTCGTCGAATCTTAATTCGTCTTCTATCAAAACTTTGCTATAAATATGTCGTATCAAAGTCCGTCCTCTTCTTCTATTTCCATTCTGACTTCTAATTGTATCAACTAATGTTAAGTGTTAACATCAACAAGTATAATCGAAGGAGAAAACTGAAAACCGGTTCATTTGAGTTTTCAGTCTTGAAGCTGTCTGTACAAATATATACACTCAATTCTCTTTTTACACGGTTTCGATTTAATACGATTCAGAAAGAGAGCTAATACTACGTGTATCTTTTGCCTTAATACGATTACCAACAATCGTTTATATATATTCAATACTATTACTTAGAACATTGATAATGACAATAATTAAATCTTAAGCAACAGGCAAATGAACCCGTGAATATTTTTTCCGTCGATATCTTCCTTATGCTCAGAATAGTTTTATTCTACAATATTTATTTTTATATTTTCAATACGTTAAAAAATGTTGACGATGTATCAATAAATCGATTTTTATTGATAGTTTTACCAAATTACTAGTTTCCATGTTTCTTTGGAAGTCAGTGTGTGTTAAATCGACTACGCAGTCAATTTAGGACTGATTAAAAATGTGAATTTTATATTATTTAACACAGTTGAACGCATACATACGTTAACAACTCATACATTTTACTTTTCATATAATCTACTTTAGCATGATTCGTTAAAACCATTCCGTTAATAAATACGTCATTTCTGTTTACTTTTTATCGAATATTTGAAACAACCCTCTTTTATCATAGACGATATATCTATTTTACACAGTTTTTTTTTTATCTACCGTATAAAAAGAAAACTTGGATATACGTATACACATGTAGACATATAGCGTATATAGGTACATACACATAAGTACACGTTTGATGTGTATAAGTAGAAGGTTCGCAATTATATCAAACTACATCTATCTTAAATATTTATGAATAAACAAACTCAAAGTATTGGGTAGTGAAATCGGCCATTCAACCTTTCACGATTCTACGTCGGATTACCCTGGACACCCTATTTTATCGTACACAGCTTTATTGTTAAACCAAACACGATACTAATATTTTGAAATCTTTTCATACGCGATAAACGCTTTCGATAACGTTAAATACTTATTTCTAATGCTAAGAAATATATGTATACAACACCAATTAAATTCTCTACATCGGCTATAGTTCTTTAAAGCAAGATAGGAATATACTTTAAACAAAACTTAAAACCAAAAATAAGGTATAAACAAAATTATAACTGTATTATTATCTCAAAAAAAGAAATATGAACTATATATACTGAATTTATTATGGCACCAAATGGGAAGTTCCAGTTGGGAACTACTAACAAGTCTCAGAAAACAATAATGTATAATATAATATTTAAAAAATGTAGAGTTAGTCTACCATTACTGTAAAATACTTGTACATACATGATGTATTTATATACACACATATTCTAATTACTAAAATTACAAAACATATTAGTTCGCAATACAAATCACATTTACTATCTTATTGTATTAAAAGCAAGAAAATAGATTTGTTTAATATGAGAGATGAATAAGATCAGTGACGTTTGTTATGAATAATATTATGGATTTCTCAAATTTACAGATTGAGTGACAAAATTGTAGATCTATGTTCTTGCCAATAATACCTTACTACATAACTGAATGTTATAATGAACATTGATTTAGGAAAATCTATAGAAAATAATAAAAAAAAACCTGAATCACAAACGCAAATCGCTAGTATAATGTTAAGAATATAGCATTTATCGCGTAACAATAACTCAAACTTAGTCGCAGTACTGTAATAAGAACAGAATCATATACAGCATTTTTGTTAAATATACAACGTAACGTAATAATTCAATAATAATGCAGTAAAAATAAACCCATTTTACATGAATAAACTTACTTGAGCAGAAAACATTAATAAGATATTTACACAAAGTAATGTAAAAAGTTAACGCATTTTATCCAGTTAAAAAAAAAGAAGAGAGATAGATATACTGACAATTTAGGCGAATTATATTCTCTGTTAGTTTAATTCATACATAATGTATGCAAAAATCTATAATTTCTTGCGGTATACAAAGCAAGATTTCAAATGTTTAATTTTACAATTAAAATCTCTTATGATACAGTTCTTAGATATTTAAAATATAGAGAAAAAATTAATTTTAAGATGTTTTTCTTTGCCGTTATTCTCTTATATCACAATAATTATATAACAACAAAAATGACATTAATTTAACTTAATATAAATGTTTCAATTCATAAGACTTCTAAAATATTAAAGTAGAAATTTTGATACTTTTAATTTCACATTACTACACTTATTATCATGTATATACACATTAATAAAACAAATATGTATCTCTAGTAGAATTAATTTGAAGATATAACATATTAATATAGAACTTCGAATAAAAACATAACATACAAACGTTATAAACACTGTCATCTATTTCTGTACATGTACTTTACAAAAACACGTAAGTACTTTCCTATGACAATTAAAAATAACAAACATTTCAGAACTTAAAATTCCAAGTAAAATTTTACAGATATTACTATAATAAAATTCTTTTTGGTGAACAATATTTAATACGTCGAAAACTTAAATTTCCTTCTTATCTAGTCAAGTAACATAAACGAAAACTGGGAGAAAAAAAAAACAATATAAAAATAACTATTCAACAACTTAAAACATTCTTTTGCAAATTCTTTTATATTATCTATCAAGTAAATACGATTATGGTAAATGTCAAGAAATAAAAATGTACACTATAGCACCACACTGGTGTTTTACTTTGGGTTTCCAACAATACTTAATAATATTAAGATATATTATACAACTTTTAAATATTTTACACTACAATCATACCAATCTGTTTCAGTAAGAAATAATGTCGCAATCATTTTTAATTATCGTATGTTATTTCATTCGTTAATGTATATACTTCTTAATACGTCAGTCCATTTAACACTACATAGATACAATCATATATTTCAAGTGCTGTAAGAAAAATTGTACAATGTAAATAGTTCAGAAAAGTGACAACTTTTACACTTTACCTGCTGTTATTACTGTCTATACAGATAAGGATCACCGTCAAACTTCAGATATACGTATCAGGCAACGATTCACTGTTATTGTTCTATACTGAACAAATTAACACATAAATTATTTCCAGTGCCAATGTTTAATTCCAACATTTAGAAAAAATCGACAAATAAGGACGAAGTACACTTTTACACTGACTAGTTAAAAGGAAAACAGGACAAAAAAATAAATGTACTTTCATTTAACAGAAGATATTGTTTTACCTATAATATTCGTATAATCTTAGTTTCGAAAAATTTCTAATAAATGTACAAGTATTACATTAACGTTTCTTCCGTTATTCCTATTCTTAACCGCAGGAAGAAAATTTCAAAAATAGCTAAAATATAATTTGAAATTTTCCATTTAAACAATTCATAAATTTATTTATGTAAACAATTATAAGAATAAAATAATAAAAATTATAATGTAATTTAATTTTATAAATTATTATATACTATAGAATTACAACGTTTCCAACATGAATAACGTTTGAAAATAATTTATTTAATCTTTTTCTCAATATTTGTTTAATCAGCTGCCTGATACCTATGCAATGAAAGCTATATACCGTTCTTCAATAAATAATGATTCTATCACCATTAAATGTATATTATATGCTACATATAGTCTTTAAAAATCAAAATATCTTAAAATAAAAGGAATTGACATCAGATATCAAAGAATTTGTAAGTAGATCAATAATATCATAAAATATATACATTCATTTTCTTAAAATTTGGAGAACCCATGCTGACTATAACATCTGTATTCATCATATTTTCTATTTAACTTTTTGAAACTACCTAATTCGCTTTATATAAGTAATTAACGCCATATTTTTGTATAAGTTACTATACTTCTAAAAAAGAATTATTAATTATATTAAGTACTATTCATAATAATCCCATACTATTAAAAAAGAGAAAAAAATAAACAATTTAGTAAGTACTTAAAAGAGAACACATTTAAACATATTCAACTTTTTCAAACGCGAAAAGTACATACTGCAGATTATAATTCTTACAGCCTCTTATGCTCAAATATCGTCAACTCATCATTCTCCTAACGCTACTATTTATTATAAAGATGCCTGATCATGCGTGTATGTATCAATTATAAATTGTATAGGAAATCAAATTAATTATGAATGATTCAAGTATTCAACAATTACAATGATTAATAATAACAAAGCCGATTACTTCTGAATAATTATGTAAGAAAAAGTATTCGAATTTATCCATATAATTCTTATTTATCAAAATATCATTAACCGTTACTGATATATTATTCCTTATTTATTTTTAAATTCTTATTTTGTTCTTTATATTTTTATATGCTTTTGTATACAAAATTTCTGCACATTGTACTTTTCGTAATTGTTTAGAAAATTTCGATTTTATGTTGAAAATGTTCTCGATCTACGTAAAAGAAATGATATAAAAGAAGATCAAGACTCGTATATCAATCTTTGATAATGCGGAAATATTTCCCATGTCGGAAGGTGTAAACCAAACTCTAAGGCCACCAAAACAGCAAATTCAGACGTAATCAAATCCTTGCGATTTAAACGAAATATATTTTCAATTCTCTGGAAATTGTTTAAAAAGTATTTAATCAAAAACCATTCCATATATGAAATTTATGTGCATAATAAAGCAATATAAATTGTCATACAATTTTTATTTATGTATATATATATATATGTGTATAATAAATACCTCTATTAATGATTTAAGAACATCGCCCTTAACATCATTTAGTTTCGCTGCAAGTAGTAAACATGCACCAGCGCATAGTTTTCGTGTTTGTTTCGTGACAACATTACGAAGAATGAGTTTTTCAAAATATACATAAGCCATTGCTACAGTTAGGAGATCAATACCATATTCCGTTTTTGCTATTTTTCGCATCTCTCGTTTTAAACTAAATATAATATTATTGCTGTATCATTCAATTTCACACTAGGAACAATTGCATACTCATAAAATTTATTGTGTTTTAATACTGACCTTCTTAATTTACTCAAAGTGAGTTGGATATGCGGAAACTTTTCTTTAAATTTATCGTTCAGTTCTTTTTTCAAATCGGATGGCCGTACATAATCAATAACTGATGCCTATAAAAAACATAAAGTGTTTGATTATCAAGTAAACCATTATTACTATAATATCGCAAATGTATAAAAATATATGTACCATATATGATGTAAATGTGAGTAACGTTCTATGCTTTCCAGCTATGAGTTCTGGATCATCTAGTAAATTGGGATTATATTGCAGTGATTGTTCATCCCAATCATAAACTATAGTATAAGAAACAGTATATTTACATCTCATTCACTAACATTATCATTATGTTTCCAATTTATTTTTTTTAGTTGACTTAAATTAAATACAAAATGATTTATATAATATATAAATATACCTTTTGAATCAGCACTAAAAGATAATGGTGGAGATTCAGGCGTTACATGTTGAGCACGATGCGTAGCTGTATCATAAGACAAACACCTGCAACAAATTCTGTGCACTGAGTAAACAGCATCATTAATGAAAAATTGCATGCAGTAAACATATTTACAACTTATAATCTTTAATCTCTTTTGATATTAATAACTAAATACCTAATAGTGATTAGTAAACTATTTTGTTACATAAGTTATGAGTAAATATACATGAATGTGTACAAATGAAAATGTAAGTGACAATGCATGTTATGCGAGCGATAATATCTGAATACTTTATTTATATATTATTGCAAAAATAAATAGTTTATATTTATAAAAAAATAATATGCTCTTTCCAAGAATAATATTATTTTTAAATAAGTAATGAAGGCCCACTAGAAAGTTGTACTAAAAACAATTATAACAAAAATGATTACTAAGTGCTCATACAAAAATTTATTTTTTAAGTGAACATAATTATTTATACTAAATGGCATCTATATTCAAAATATTCAGAATACACGTGTTAAAAATATAGTAAAAATAAAAACTTTATACACATACTTTATACTACACCCACTTCATAATGTATATAGAAAAAGCATTTATACCTAACTATATTATTATAAATTTACTATCACAAATTTAATTGTAATATAATTTATATTTTAACTATACATATCTATTTGAATTTTGTTTGTAATACAGTACTGTTACAGTTTTTACCATTTAGAGTGATCCACATTCCATGTAATAGTTTTTGTCCTGCAAAAACATGGTTGAAATATCTTGTTATAAAACAAACAAATGGTGAAATGTAGTTTCTGCGAAGATACTTTAATGAAATACATGAAACATGAATGAAGATGTTAAAAGTAAAAATGTATAATACTGGAACATATGAGAATTTTAAATAATAAATTAGTTTTACAGCACTCTTGTAAGTTGCAGACTGAATTGAAATATTCAACAATAAAAGCGAAATATTAATTTTCATAATGAATACCTTGAAACCATAGGATGCTTGTTAGGTATAACATGTGTAAGTTCTATTGCCTCGTTATCGCTAAAATGTAATTTTTTGTCCTTCTGAAATTGCCTAGATGGAACAAGCAATTGCCCGTAAGATATTTCCTAAAAAAATCCGCAAGATTATTTATGAATCTGAAAAGCATAAATTTAGATCACATTTTTTTAAGTAACTTACCTGGCCGTCCTTAGCACGCTCTATACCCAGCAAACCAAAAGGATCAATATTATCATTTATTGCAGACAGTGGTCGCTGTGAAGCAATGTTTTTTCTCCGCCCAGTATCCTTGCGTAATTCAGACCTGTAAATGGAAAAAAGCCAACAACAGACATTCATAAACATATTCGAAAAAATTTCATAATACAATGCATAAAGTATGTCTCATCTTACCAACTAGACCTTTGTCCTTTATTATATGGAAGAGCAGAAAATACTAGGAATGGCACATGCTTGTTGGAAACCAAAACTAGTCTATCGTCTCCAAATTTGTGGCCATTTACAGGATGTTGCATTAAACGCAACTCTCTTGTAACTTCAGATATTATGCCACTGTTTGTACAACCAGATTGCACATTGTTTGATGTCTTTGTTTTTGATTTAATGGAGTGTGGTTTAGAACGTAATGAACCAATGCTTTCATTGGAACTGTTATACTGATGTTTTATATCCTCTGAAAGCGTAGACGTTTGATGAGTTATACGCTTTTTATATTGTAAAGAGCCCACTCGCCTTTCGGGTAAAGAATATTCACTGCCAGTAGTGCCAGTACTAAAAAACATAAAAACATACACACACAAACACACATATGTATATATAAATTAATTTTATAATTCATTTATAACTAAGAATATTACATATATTACAATTGTTCGATTAATTATATATATTTATCTATAACGTTTGTAGAAAATTAATTTTAATTCCATATGTTCATATCAACATAATGTCATAAATGCTTACTGTGTTAAACAATAAAATATAAGACTAAAAAGATTAATCAAAACGAAATAAAAAATATATCTTTCAAGAATAAAATTAATTATTACAAATGATATTCTTTAATATTTACAATCTGTTATTAGAAGTAATAATCATTGGGAATATTTGTTGTTTACTATTATGATGAGCTATAACATCAAAGTTGCCTCATCCAATACATAATATACTTAATGCATTATACAATACCATTACTACTTCTCTCTAATTGAATTAGTATAATGAGATGTATACTTATATTTAACATTTTCAATATTTTATAAAATGTACATACAAACAATTATAAGAATATTATATAAGCGATGATTTTTTATTTTACAATGCAGTTGTTAAATAAATTATTTGCATCTCATTTAAATTATTGTATTACTTTAGCATATGAATGTAGATGTGATCATAATTTTGTACTAACTCAAAAGTTGTTAAACTATGTTATTACTATGTCGTTTTAATACATCATTAATTTGTTCAGACAAGTATTGAATGTCACTTCATCAATACTAATATTATAATAAATGAACTTTTATTAATATTATTATCTAAATATACATAATCAATGTTAATAAAATCATCACTTTTATAAGAAAATTATAGTAAATACTTTACAATACAATATAATACTGTACATACGTAAAACCATACCAGGAATAATAAAACTTACAATTACTTTTTACTGGGACTATGGATAAGATACCATACCAATTAAATATTTTGTTCAGATAAAATAGTTTATTCAACTCAATGGCAAAAATGAGTAATAGAATTAACAATGTAATTTTTAAAGTGCAAGTACATTATAAAATTCATATGATGTTTATGAGTAATTATAAATTATACTTATTCCACTTTCCAATTTGTTAAAGACAACAGAACAGTTAAAATAAATCTTTTTTATGCAAACAATCAATGATACGATTTCTTTAAACAGATAAATAATGAAATTGTAAGAGACTACAGCTTCAAGTCTATAATAACAAGTTTGCAAAGCAGAACGTATATCACGCTGATATTTAAAGGATTTCAAACGACTGTTTACCGTTCTCTGAATGAACTATGAAATCCAGTAGAGAGTTGTGGATAATTTCTTTCTTGTTCAAGAAAAGCAGCCACCGCTGCCTTTGCAGGAGTCAACAACCCATCAGAATTTGAACTAAATGAATTATGTTCTGCACTCTTTGGCACCAATTGTGGAGAAGATGTCTGCTTCGCAGATGGATGTATTAAATGCTCTTCGGTGCAGTCATCAAGAACTTCCTCACTGGAAACGTCCAGATCAGTTTGACAAACATCAGCCTGATGAGTTTGACTGTCGCTGAGGGTACGAGCATGAGCAGCACCGTTTCGCGAGAGAACGGCTAACTTGGTATCGCGGTGGCTGCCATCAAGAGAGATGTTCGAAAGAAACGTTAGGGCGGCCAACCTTCTGCGTGAATGATTCTTTTTTAAGGCTGCTGCCATTCCACGGTTGACCGTGTCGTGTGACCAGTGTTATCGAGTACCAACGTAAACGACCAGGAAAAGGACAAGCGCCCAACAAGGACTCTTTTATCAAACGAGGGCAACTACTAGGATCACAACTCATTATCACAGCTCGTACACTTAGTCCTGACATTTTCCACAGACGTGCCCGCAAAGTGCACGTACCAATGTGAACCGATGTCACTTGTCATCGTACCGTTTCCTCTCATAAGATTAAAAAACAAACCCTGCCTCCAATGAAACAACCTTTCTTCCTACTACGCAACACTGAGACCCATTCTCCTCTTAGTGGTTGAGTGACAGTGTTACCAAACAGCAAATCGGTGCCAAGAAGAAACTGCCCCTCCACTTGCGAACACTAATGCATAGCTACGTGTACGTGAGCTCCGGTGCTTCGGACAGTTTCGGGGATTCGAGAAAGAAGGCAAATGTGAGTCTTTCCTTCTCGCTCTCTAAGCAGCTGAAATTCATTTTGCGTCAACCAGCATATGATTTCGAGTCTGGACCAGTGAATTTAGATTCCACTATCTCCTTTCGGGTCTTCACTTACAGCAACCTCCTCGTGGTGAGACCTGGTAATCGGTGTTACATAACTAATGGGTGTAAATTTAAAATAGTTTCTTTAAATATCAAATAAAATTGTTAATAATGACAACTCTGTATATCATCTAAGGGAAGAAAATCTTTTTACATTTGTTAACTTTACCGATTTCAGTAGTTTAATTGACCACTGGTTTTGTTTATCAGGTCGTACGTGAGTGGAGGAACAGTTTCCTTACAGCACTACACGGTGCAACGAACTGTCATCTGGTACCACTGGTCGAAATTCGAAATCGTATGCAAGTTGATGCAAATCGGATTTCAGCTGTTTCGAAAGAGCGACAAGGAAAGACTCATAGTCGCCTTCTTTCACGAATGCCCGAAGCTGTCTGAAGCACCGGAGTTCACGTACATATGGCTGTGCATTAGTATACGTAAGTGGAGGGGCTGTTTCCTCCGGGCACCGGTCTGCTCTTTAGTAATACTGCTGCTGAGTGATAACCCTGCCTTCTTCTGCGACTGCGCGTGTTCTTACGTATGTTAAAAGCACAAAATATGTAGTATTTTCCAGAAATTTCAGGTTTTTCTTTGCTAAATTGATTATATTTTCTTTATACAAAATTCTTATAATAAATTCTACAAATTTTCTAGTAATTGTTTACACACGCATAATTATTTTTCAAAGTTAGTATTTGTATTCCAAAATTAACTACGCAGAAAATATTATATCCTATTCAATTTCGTATATTAGGAAAGATAATATCGTGTGATTTAACAACTTTGGTGATATATAGTATATGCAAAGGATGTATTTGTTATGCTTTATTTTTGAATATTTTTAATAATAATTGCAATACAAAATAGTTGATGGAACTTCTGTAACAGAAGTATTTAGAAAACAAGTTATATATATGTATTATATTTTTAAATATCTCTAAAAAAATTATGAATTAATAGAAATCATGAAAAATGATTATGTTTGTATAGACAAGTAATGATATAGCATAACATGTATTTGAAAACATAAGCAAATTACTCTTATGTTTAAAAGACTGAAGTTTATTCTCTGTAACCAGAGATGCCAGAAAAGCACCGCCGGGTGCACACGCACACATGCCAGATACGCGTACGTGAGCTCGTGGAATTTCGGAAAGTCGACAAAGGCAAACTGACGCATGCCCTCTTTCTCGATTCTCCGAAGCTGTCCGAAGTAATTTCGGATCGCCTCGTGGGAGTCGAGAGAGAAAGGCTCACATTTGCCTTCTCGCTCTAAACAACTGAAATCCGACCTCCCGTCAACGGCATACGATTTGGATTCTCGAGCCGAGATTCTCGACTGCCCAGGCATTTTTACTTTCCGACCTATGTAGGCGCACATAAGCAAAGTACCCATAATGAAAAAAAAATGTTGTAAAATTTATTTTACGGAAATACACGTTTTAAAACCCCCTGATCATATTTTAATTATTGAAAAAAAAGAAACTTTTTTTATTAGTCCCATGTCTGAGCACACATATGTATATTATTAATACGATTTTTGAAAATCAAAATACTTTAAGATTGAAAATTAATAAATTAAAATGAGATTCCACTCATTACCAGTATTATGCACGCTGTGGTATTTTTCAATAAGAAGAGTTTTTACTTTTATAACATAAACAAAACAGTAGAATTAATAATTGCAGAAATTAATTATTAATGATTTTCCTCGATTGTTTTGAAATAACCGTATCAATTTGTTATGACGAACTAAATAGAACTAACTAGAAACAAAGGAAAAGTGATCCCGTTTGCCAGTTTAATACAAAGTATGGGTTGTATCTTAAATTTTAAAAGGACATAGTCGAATATTTTTAAAGGTACAAAACATAGCGTTTCATTGTAGAACAGTAACATAAGTTAGCAGGTAATGTCATAAAACTGTTTTCCCCAGCTATATCCCTTTTTACCTGAAGTATAAGGTAAAAAGTACGAGCTACAAGGTACGACTATCCGAAAATCGTTCACATTTTATCAATGTAAATGAAGCGGCCTTTCCATCAGAGTTAAATACAAAATTTTGTAATTTCTGTGAAAACAAAACTTTCAGTAAATGTACGTGGTGCTTGAAATTTTTATGTTTTGACTGTTTTTGTGAAAAGTACCATCCAGATTCATGTACTTCGTACATTGAAAATAACATATGTTAAATGTAATCGGTTAAATTTAACTTTAAAAAAAAATATTCGAAGGTCAGACAAAAATATAATGTCATATTTAGTGTACGATTAAAGTATGATTGAATAAATAAAAAAAAAAAGTTCAAGCAGGGTTCGAACCAGCAGAGCAGAAGAAGTTCGGAACTTGCAGGCAAAGACCTCATCACTCACGCCACGCTGATTATTGGTGAACATAGTTCTATTTCTGAAAATAAGTACCTGTAATAACTTTAATAATATCTCAAAGTAAAACCTAACCCAAAACCTGGTACCATTCCAACTTTTCCTTGTTAGAAACGAGTTTTCAATTTGTCTTAGCGAAAATCGCAATCACATTTTGCACATTATTCTAAAACATTTGTGGTATTCGTTTTCAATGCGATTTAAGTAAGCATGTAATGTATAAGATTTCATTTAATGTTTTCTTTTCTAGAGAAGATAGAGAAAAAGTTTATATAATTTTTTTTATATAAAATTTAATTCGTCCTAAGATTTGTATGAAACATTTAAAAGATTTTTTATACATTATGTCTATATATCGGAACAACTATGAAACAAGAGGTATAATCTGTAAGGAGTTTATGTGTGTGGCTAGGAGAGCCGTTATCGTTTGCGTCGATAGGAGTGTTTAGTCTAAGCTAGAGTAGGTATCGAGTGAGGTGTTTAGGTTTAAGCTGAAATACGTTTTAGAGACTGCGTCTCGAACGTGCGTTTTGTTTGACTTTGACTGCAGGAACGTCACTCTGTATCGAACGTTAGTCGAGAGCAATCACAGTTTTACGTTTACGTTTTATGTCTTTCTTTTATGTTCTTTATGTTAAATAGTTAGTAAATATTAAATAATATAATTACATCGTTACGTTTAGTGTTCACGTATTTGAATCCGTCCACACGCCTTTGAAATGAGAACATAAAACTTAAATGTAAAGTTTCATTTAAATTCATTTAGCTATTTATACTCAATCGTATTAATAATATACATATGTGTGCTCATACATGGGAATAAAAAAAAATTTCTTTTTTTTCAATAATTAAAATATGATCAGGAGGTCTTAAAACGTGTATTTCCGTAAAATAAATTTTACAAAATTTTTTTTTCATTATGGGTACTTTGCTTATGTGCGCCTACATAGGTCGGAAAGTAAAAATGCCTGGGCAGTCGAGAATCTCGGCTCGAGAATCCGAATCGTATGCCGTTGACTGGAGGTCGGATTTCAGTTGTTAAGAGCGAGAAGGCAAATGTGAGCCTTTCTCTCTCGACTCCCACGAAGCGGTCCGAAATTACTTCGGGCAGCTTCGGAGAATCGAGGAAGAGGGCATGCGTCAGTTTGCCTTTGTCGTCTTTCCGAAACTCCACGAGCTCACGTACGCGTATCTAGCATGTGTGAGTGTGCACCCGACGGTGCTTTTCTGGCATCACTGGGTTAGACAGAAAGAAGAAATAAGAAAAGTTATCTTTTTTCTTTGTCTTACTTCCGGTTTAGATCAAAATGTTGGGAGCCAATGAAAAACTTGAACGCGGTATCCGATCCGTTCCTAGATGAACCCCAGACCCCAGTTCTTAAAGATGGTAGCTCATGGTAATTTCTTATCGTTACAGACAGAGATGCCAGAAAAGCACCGCCGGGTGCACACGCCCCCATGCCAGATACGCGTACGTGAGCTCGTGGAGTTTCGGAAAGTCGACAAAGGCAAACTGACGCATGCCCTCTTTCTCGATTCTCCGAAGCCGCCCGAAGTAATTTCGGATCGCCTCGTGGGAGTCGAGAGAGAAAGGCTCACATTTGCCTTCTCGCTCTAAACAACTGAAATCCGACCTCCCGTCAACGGCATACGATTTGGATTCTCGAGCCGAGATTCTCGACTGCCCAGGCATTTTTACTTTCCGACCTATGTAGGCGCACATAAGCAAAGTACCCATAATGAAAAAAAAATTTTGTAAAATTTATTTTACGGAAATACACGTTTTAAGACCTCCTGATCATATTTTAATTATTGAAAAAAAAGACATTTTTTTTTATTCCCATGTATGAGCACACATATGTATATTATTAATACGATTGAATATAAATAGCTGAATGAATTTAAATGAAACTTTACATTTAAGTTTTATGTTCTCATTTCAAAGTCCGGTTAGACTTTGACTATAATCAGTCCATGAATAATAATGATTATACCTCTTGTTTCATAGTTGTTCCGATATATGTATAGGCATATGTATAAAAAATCTTTTAAATGTTTCATATAAATCTTAGGACGAATTAAATTTTATATATGTTATACAGACGCGTAGAATGGAATTAGGAATTAAGAAATACGCAGGGTATTCGTATACATGCTTTATTCCCGTTCTTTCAGCGTCGGAAAAACAAATGAGCCCGTCCTGGGCCTAGACCCTCGCCTTTGTCGTCAGCCTTCTCCCCCATCGGTAGGGGTGGGAGTGTTGACGGACGAAGGCCAGCGCCTCGGCTTGGGCCTCGCCTTTTCCCGACGCCTTACATATAAAAAAAATTATATAAACTTTTTCTCTATCTTCACTAGAAAAGAAAAAATTAAATGAAATCTTATACATTACATGCTTACTTAAATCGCATTGAAAACGAATACCACAAATGTTTTAGAATAATGTGCAAAATGTGATTACGATTTTCGCTAAGACAAATTGAAAACTCGGTTCTAACAAGGAAAAGTTGGAATGGTACCCGATTTTGGGTTAGGTTTTACTTTGAGATATTAATAAAGTTATTACAGATACTTATCTTTAGAAATAGAAATACATTAAACAACCAGCGTGGCGTGAATGACAAGGTATTTGCCTGCAAGTTCCGAGCTTCTTCTGCTCTGCAGGTTCAAACCCTGCCAAAACAAATCCTTTTTTTTTATTTTTTCAATCATATTTTAATCGTACACTAAATGTGACATTATATTTTTGTCTGACCTTCGAATATTTTTTTTTTAAAGTTGAATTTAACCAATTACATTTAACACATGTTATTTTCAATGTACGAAGTACATGAATCTGGATGGTACTTTTCGTAAAAACAGTGAAAACATAACAATTTCAAGCACCACCTACATCTAATGAAAGTTCTGTTTTCACAGAAATAACAAAATTTTGTATTTAACTCTGATGGAAAGGCCGCTTCATTTACATTGATAAAATGTGAACGATTTTCGGATAGTCGT